CATGGAAAGTTATACTCTATATATATAGGATATGTCAAAATACATTCTACTGTCATGTATAATTTAAAAAGTAGTTTTATAAAATGTTCAATTCAACCCATAAATTTCTCTAGATGGTCAGGCAATCAATACAGTGTTGGTTTCTATAAAATGTTCAGGATGTAATATCCATTGTTTCTAGGATTTTTCCTCAGCAGAAAAGATGGCTTTTACTATTAACTCCACTTGTCTGATATCTTGGTTTTCATGGGTAGCCCAAAGTTAACAGTTAAAAGTGAGTAAATTAGGTTTAACATAAACAGGTTAATCTTCATAAATGTGTTAGAGGAGACTTCTGATTTATTTGCAAATTTAAAGTGCTAAAATATCAGCTGCTAAAAATAAATTCAAGTATTCTTCTTGAATTCCAAAAGTAATATATATTGGTTTATTAAAGGTGTTTTTATAAATGGATACATGAAAAAAGAGTAAGATTGCCTTTTTTCTGCGTCTCCACTAAAGGCAAAGTTACCAAAAATTAAAATTCTAACAATTCCCAGCCATTACTTTAAACCACACAAAACATTAGCATCCCATAAATCCAACATCTAAGAATAAAATTATTTGGCCTGTGGTTTACCACATCTTATTTCCATTTGTAAGTCCAAAACCTATGTAATGTGAGTGGTAGAGAGTGGAAACCTGCCCCCCCCAAGCTGGTCCAGCTCTGCTCATTAGGACTTTATCTGTCCTAAATGAGAGCACTTGTCCTTCTTCCTTTTCTTCAACCTGGAACACACAGATCTTTCCTATCAGAACAAAACAAAACAAAAATCACCTGTGTTTTTGAGCCTGATTCAGGTGCAATTTCTTAAATCAGATGCTTCATCTGAACACCAAATCTTTCCACATCTCATCCTTCAGAATTCTTCTAGGTGTCATTTATGGAACAATATTTGTGTTGGAGCTCTGACATTTTATTTTTGAACTCTGTACCTTTTTCTTAGAATGAAGAACTTCTTGAAAACCAGGACATATCCGGAAACAGCTCAATTAGGAGTCGAGTTGTACAAAGCCGGGAACAAGGAAACACCAAACAGGTAGAGCTGGACAGTGGTTGAGGGACTCATCACCATGGTAACAGAGCTGGGGATGCAGCTTAGTGGTAGAATGCTTGCCTAGCATACTTGAGATCCTGGGTTCTATCCACAGCAATAAAATTTAGAGAACAAATCCAAGGAAAAAGTCAATGACTGACATCTTGGAACTTAGACTGTCTTTATGGCAAAAAAAAAAAAGTCACATTCATGTGTTGAAAGAAAAGTGACCACAACACTCAGAGCAACCAAAAGATCTTTATTGCAGCAGTGCAACAAAGAGAAAAGAAAGAAGGAAAGAAGGGGAGAGAGAGAGAGAGAGAGAGA